TCTTAGTTTTTTTTTTTTAAAGAAAGAAAGCAACAAAATTTACATTAATAAAGGAAGAAAAAAAGCCAAATCCTAATCCCTTGTCAAGCAATACTAAGACTAAAGTTCAACCTTTTGGGTGCTCTCCCATATTACAACAAGTTTTTACAACTGTGTTAAGGTTTTTATAGCATCAGAAATGTCTCCTTTGGGTACTTTACCAAAGAAATCAAAGAACCTAAAAGATGTGATTGTGAACAAACAAAAAGGGGTAAAATTATTGATTTAGCAAAAAAGAAGCAAGTAATTCGTAATAAATCTAATAGACCTAGTTTGAAATTAAAAAAAAAAAAAAAAAAGTGCTTACAGAAACTATATGGAAGAATGTAAAAACAAGAGCCATACCTTGATTTTCTCAATTTTTCTTTCTCTTCTTCCAAATCAATCAGTCATCAATTTTTTTACCGATTTGCTATCATGGCAGCTGTAGACAACATGAAGCCTTGAAAACAACTTTAAACTGAAATTAGAAAATTAAAAAAATAATAAAAAAATGTGTAGCAATGAATAGTGGTTGTAATGGATCACTATTGTTGCTGCTCTGTTCTCGTCAGAAAATCAGAATAAAGAAATTAGCAGCCTAAAAAAAAAAAACAAATAACTCTAATTTGACATCAACCTTAGTTAAACTCAAATTCAACCTGAAATCAATCATCAATTCGATACAATCTATAGTTTTACACAAATAATTATTTTTTTAAAAAAAATTATAAATTTCTGTTGAATCTTAATGACTGAGCCAACTAGTGAAGTTAGCCTTTCCATCGTACATCGTCCACTAGGTGAAGCTCTAACTCTGATGGTGAATGGTTGGGACTCGGTCACAAAGCTGGGCGGTTAGGTGGTGACAATAGGTTTTTTTGATTGAGAATTAGGATTTATGATAGGGAACACAAGAACCTAGGTAGATGCCAGAAGCATGCCGTCATGGCTGAATTGCCAAATTGATAGGGTCGTAGGGGATGTTGGCAAAGGGAGGCTTCTGTTTTGGAATTTTGCATTGAGTTTGAGAGTTAAGATGGTAGAGGTTGAGAATTGATGGAAAGTGAGAGACTGAGATGAATAAGAGTGTAAGAATGAGACTAAAGAAAATAAAAAAGAAGAGTTGTTAAGACAAATGAGCGATTAGAGGGAATAAGGTAAAAAATTTAGTGCTTAATGCCTAGAGGGAAAGATCATGATGGGTTTTGCTCACGTAAAATTTTTTATTTAGGGAACATTTTGTTTATAAGAAATTTTAAAGGTTAAATTTTATTGGAGGAACATTTAAAATTGAATAAATTTAGGAATTAATATGATATAGATAGAGAAATTTTAAAGAAAAATATTTGATAAAAATTGAGGTGGTAAGTTTCTTGTATAATTTAAATGAAATTTAATTAAATGATTATATATTGATTTATTATTTATTAGTTTATAATTTTATATTTAAATTTTATTAATGATTATTTTGTTTTGGTAATTGTATTGTTGTTAATTTTTTAGTATTAAATCAATTCTTCTTATTATTTTTGTGTAAAATAAAAAATTGAAAATTCACTCCCTTGTATAATAATTTGAAAGTAATTTATGATAGAAATATTAAATCAATTAATGTGTTAAAAAATTAAAATACTTCATAAATTACTAAATTTAAAAAACATAAATATTTAATAAATTATTACATTTAAAAATCAAGTAAATAAAAGACAAATGATATCATAAACTATTTTAAAAATTATAAAATAAAAATTTTATAATTATAATTATAATTACTATATTTTATAATATATTATGCAAAATTAAAAACAAAATTATGATCACAATGAATGATTGACCTTGATAATTTTCGTTATGTACGTAATTGTAATAAATATGAGCAATAAAAAATGTGATTGTGATTACAATTCAGATCCTTAATCAAGTCAAGGCGTTGGCTGGCAAGCTTCCGATAATCGAACGGTGCGATAAATGGTCGAAATGGGGTAGGTTTCGACAAGATGTGGTGGAAGGTTAAGGTGAGTCAGGATAGGATGAAAGAAGAAAAGGGCGAGGAAGGAGAGAGAAGGAAATGACATTTAAATTATATGAGTTTTAGTGACAAAACTTCATCGCTAATATGACCTTCATTACATTTAGCAACAAAAAAACTCTGTTGCTGATTACTAATTTTAACCAATTTTAAATTTTCAAAAAATGAATTTTTAAATAAAAAATTAAAAAAATAATTTTATTTTTATTTTTAATTTTAATTTTAAAAGGAAAAACTTAGTTATTAACAACAAAATAATTCTGTCAACGAATCTATCGATATTGACAACATTAGTGACAAAATTTTGTCACTAAAATTTGTCTTTAGTTTAATTTATGACAAAATTAGCTACAAACTTAATTTCTGTCGTTAGTTTTTAACCTTTTTCCATGAAAATTTATCACTAATTTCGTCTATAAAAAAATTTTTGTCAAAATTTTTAGCGAAGAAAATTTTTTGTTAATAATTTTTTATTGTTGATGAATTTTTTTCTTGTAATGACATTAAATCTTGGATTTAGACATTAACTCTTCAAATAAATTTTGGAACTATTCCAAATTTTCATTCCACTTTATCCAAAGATTTTTAAAGTTAATTCTTAGCATCACTATTAAAATATTTTCTTAATCACTCAAGGCGATAAATCTTTTATTAATTATTACATACATATTCATACGTATCATATTATATATAATATTTAAGACATTCATAGTTAAGGCCATAAATAAGACAACATCTAAATATAACATTACTCCTACAAAATCAGTAATATCAAGTTAGATGATCACTTATAAGCATTTTACATTGGCAAAAAATTTAAAAAAAAAAAAAGTAATAACGATTACAATGAAGCAATATAAGAGTAATTTAATTAAATAACATATTTTTTTCTTAAATGGAATTGATTGAATATATTAAGTAGCTATGATTTCGATACTTTTTCATTAAAAATGTTCCATTAAATAGTTTTTAAAAATAAATTATCAAACATATTGAAAAAAAAAATCATTGAATTTTCAACAATTAAAAATTTTTAATGGTTTATGAAACGAAGAAATGTTTGCAACTCTAGCTACTTGAACGTGATTCACTCAAACTTAAGCCCAAGCTATGCAAATAATGTGTGAAGTTTGAGTACTTTAATACCTGACTCAAAAAGCTCGTGACACTTTGTTTCTTAATTTGGAGGGAAAGCGAGATTCTTGCACAACCCTTTGAGCAAGTGACCTAGACTTACCATTGAGCAAAATGCTAGGATGCCTCATACCAAGATCATGAATATATTTTAATGAGAAGGTATCCTGGACCGAAAAAGGCAAACACTGATGGAAAAATTTTAGGAACATTAGATGTAACAAGAATAATATAGAAGCAACCAATAGTCCGGTGATCTGTTGGTAAAATGTGTTGGATTTTTAATTCCAGTGATTAAAGTTTCATCCTTGACAGCTTCCAGTATAATATATATATATATATATATATATATATATATAAGCAAAATGGTTAGAGGCCTCTTTTGCACAAGGAATTATAGGAAAAAATAAATATGGTATTTAGAACATTATTCCTGAAACAAGGGAGAGTGACTCGCATGATTAGACAATTCATGTTTCTTGCAGTTCAAGATTTTTTTTGTCAATCTAAAAACCATATGCTCCAAGAGCATACAGGGATCAAAGATAGGTGAGCAAAAGTCATAAGATATGAGATTATTAACAACACCCCAAACAGAGATACGGATAACAAATCAACTACCTGGAGATGAAACAGATTCTTTCCAAACAGACATAAGGATAATATATGAACTACCTAGAGATGATTAAATTCCAACCAAAAGAACCACCGAGAAGAATTCACACATTTAAACATAATAGGAGTAAGAAGAATAATTATAGAATGATCCAAGGATTTGGTTCAATGGTATATGCATGTATTCCCCTACTTAATGAGCTGGCTACGAATCCCGCTTCCGTCATAAAAAAAGGATAACATAGAACAAATTAAACCAGAGGCTCAGTGTATATACAATATAGATATTCTAACAGACTATAGCGAGGAGACTGCCATAATATTGACAAAAAAAAAGTACCAAGAACTTTGAAGAAAATAGTTTCAAATTATTCCCTTCGACAATTAGTCAAATCATCATGATCTTAATGTCAATCCATGTCACAAGAATACTTATAAAGGCAGACATATCCCCACATGTATCTAATACATGTGATGCCTGCAACATATTCATACTGCATATGTAAATTATATGGCCGAACCTATATTGCTCAAGTAATAAAACATTATGATGCTCATTCAAGCCATTCAAGAGCACAAACTTATGACAGTCACCTAATGGCTAATAGTTCATGGTAAACAACTTCAGTCTAATGGGGTAAAGTGTAAACTGATGGTTCTTAAAGAAGTGCAGTGTCTTTGTAACAACCATTAAATTAATATCAAACAAAAATCAAATTACAGAAAGAGTAGCTTGAGTGATGATCTCAGCAGCTTTCCTACTTTATGAAAGATGAAGGCCCAGCAGTTTAACTACATTCTAGGCATTAGTCATAAATCTTGTTTTGTTAACTGACCATATAATCTTACTAGAGGAACAAAATTCTTCAATAAAACATTATTACCAAGGTTGATGTTATGCTATAATTACATACTGCTAAAGAAAGGATGGCAGCCTTGAAGAAATAACTGGAAATGAGGTACAAAAAGTTTTGATGTAATCAATGAGTAAACAAAGATACATCCAACAATTTCACTAAGGATGCGATTGCCTATAAATATTCAAGCTGAACCTCCCACTTTCTATAAACCCCTCTAGTAAATGCAGATCTATTTTTGCATAGATAATTTACTGAGAAGCATTTCCTTATTAAATTATAAGTTGGGATATTAGTAAGATGATAGAAATAATAGGAAAATGAAAGCTTTACAGTAAAACTATATGTTGTTCCTACACATCATTATTGATAATATGATAATGAATACCACACATCAAAGGTTTCCACTTCTCATAGAACTATGTCCTGTATTTTATGAGCTTGGAGAGCATTGATACATATAAAGCATTAGAACAATGGCTTTGATACAAGATTTTTCCTTCTAAATTTCAATCATCGAAATAGCCAGCTTGTTGGAAAGGATGCCTGTTATCCATCCATTACACCTTACCCTTCTTATGTCTTAATGCAAGCAACAACAACATGAAGACTCAAGCCAAAAGCAAATTATGATACTCAATTATGCAAAAAGCTAATATATAAGCTCTACTCTATAGATTAAGATTCTGTATACATACATATTGACTTGTAAGAGCTGAACCAAATATGCCCAAGATTCTCTTCCTCTCGCAACTCAAGAGTTGCATGAAACTTTCCAGCCTTCCCGCCTATGTACATACACTATATGCTTCAACAAAACCTTTACTAGCTATTTCCATATCCATCATACAAAATGTAATTTGCTTATACAAGTATATATTGTAAAATTTCACCATATACATTAAGTATGAAGTAACTCAGGCTATGAACAAGTAGCCAAACCATCTTGAGAAAGCAAATATCCTTCTCGATCCAATGTCTCTCTAACTGCACGATAAAACTCGACCCAAGAAGATTGATACGTATCCACAGGGTCCCATAAAAATGTTGGATTAGGACTTGCTGGGCAAGCAGCAACTAAATCCAACACCGAGGCTGCCGGATTAAGCGGCTGTGGGAAACTAAATGCTAAATTATCAACCTTATGCTCATAGATTTTCCCATTTCTATCTAATTTGTACCTTGAAGTACCCTGAAACTGGCCCTCAGCCTCCCAAGGAACTCTAGGGACACCTCTCATGTTCCATCTAATCAATATGACATTCTCAGAAGGTTGCCAAATCCTAAAAATTTCAAGGGAAATCTCTCTGAACAATATTTTACCATGAAACCTCAATGCCCAGAAGATCGATTTATAGTTTTCAATACCAGAAAATGTATTCAACGGGTCTACAAAAGTAATATCATCCCTGAAAAAAATAAAGTACAAACTTTAGAAGACAAAATCTAGAATTACCCAAGAAAAGAAAAGAAACCTGAAGAGGAAATTACCTGTAAATGTCATAATTGAGGTCTCTGGTGAAAAGCAAAGGCAAATCTTCACGAATAGTCCGAACAGCAAGTCCAAGGTTGACATAAAACTCATCTCTTTGTTGAGGCTGATGTTGGTGCTTGTCCTGTAGAAGTGAGGGAGAGCTAACCTGGAAGCCATGAAGTGTTGGGGATTGAACAGTTAGAGCTTGAGATAAGAGTTTTCGACTTTGGAAAAGAAGTGGTTGCTGAATGGGTTTTTCTTTGGAGCCGGTTTTGGTTTGGAGAAGGGAGGGAGAAAGATTTGGTAACAGAAAAGCCATTGGAGGGCCTTTCCAATTTCTTCTCTCAAAGCTTTTTAGCTGCTCATGAGGAAAAGAGAAGAAAGAGAGACGAATTTGTATGTGTGTATGGTTTTTATTTTCTCAGGTCGAAAAAAATAAAAGGTTTATAGATTTTGATTGGCTTTAAACATTGCCATGGAAATGACATGTGTTTTTATTCGAGGGGACCAAAATTGAGGTTTCGGTTTATGAACAAATTAAATAAATTAACTTGTTATCTATTATTTAATTAAATATATAGGTACATAAATTCACGTTATTTAATCACTTATCAAGATATATGTAAAATATATAACTATCAAATCATAATAAATTAAAATTTTTAATTAAATAAATTGATAAAATTCAAAACATACGATAAATAATATTTATAAAATAATAAAATATTTAAAAAATATTATAAATAACTTTATTGAGTACACCAATAAAATATTAAAATAAAAAATTTAAATACTTAATTAAAGATCAAACGTTTACATATTTTCTCAATTAAAAATATTATCTTTAATTTGATTTAATTTATGATTGAAATTTTTTTAAAATATTCAAATAAAAACTTAGTTACATAGTAACTTACACATATCATTAAGTCCACTTTCCTTTATATTTGACATTAACACATTATTAAGTTCACTTTCTTTTACATTTGATATTAAATCCATTAACTTTAGATATGCTTAAACCACGAAATACACAAATCAAATAAAAAAAAGAAAAAAAAAAGCATTCTTAGGAAAAATGATACTCAAAATACAAAATACTTAAAACCAAATAAGTTCTTCAAGTATTCTTTTTTCAAGGTTAGTATGTTTTTTGTAAAGTCTTTTCAATTATTTGCTTTTAGGGTTAAAGATTTCTCTTTTACATTTTTAGTATCAAAGTGTTCTTCAACCAAATGAGTTTTCAATTCTTACATTTTTCAATTCATCAAGGGATAAGCCAAGCTATGGATGTTTAGATTTGAAATCTTATAAGCTCATTATAGCTAGTTATCTTGTTAAATTTAATTATCAAGGAGAAATCATCTTTTACCATTGTAATTTGAAGGCACTAGGTAAATTTTATAAACAACCTCAAGCCCTGGTATAAGATTTCATGGATGTCGACAATACCTAATAATAATTTTTTATATTTTTATGAAAGAACAATATATTATTGACTGGGCTAAACGTGTTGATAAAAATTTTTAATGTTGATTATAAAAAACTATATGTGGTTTTCATCCATTGCATGATCTAAGATTTTGTGACAAAGCAAAGGAGATCATTAATGAGCTAAGTAGGAGAGAAAGGTTATTGCATAATAAAGTCAAAAAATTGAAGAATGAAGTGTCAAATTTGAAGGAAAATGCTAGGAATTATGTTAAAATCAAAGTTATTGAAGAAAAATTTTTTAATTGAAGAAAAAAGTTAGTATGTTAGGATTGAAATTGAAAAATAAAAATGGTTGAAAGAGATGGAAATTGGTTCTGTAAGTATTTGTTACTTTTATGTTTTATTTGTTTATTTTCAATAGCAGAAAAAAGGAAGGAAAATTTTGTATGTTTGGTTTAGATATGTAAATCATAATTTATGTTGTTTGGTTTGAATTATACAATAGATGTTTTAATGAATGAAAAAATGTTCTTCTGCCTACAATGAATGTTTGGTTTGAATTGTACAATAGATGTGTTTTAAAGATGATGAGAACATGCATTCATTTCATTTAATAAAAGGCATAATATAAAAAGGCAAGTTTTGGCAACATAAATATTATGTAAGAAAATGTACTTAAGTTACATCAATAATATGTTCCGTAAAACATTAAGTTGAATAGCATAAAATAGTTCTACAACTAACATGCTCCCTTACATCAAATCTTTTGTTTTCCTTTTGTTCATTTTTCATTCGAAACTTTAAATTGACTCTATTGAGTAGAAATCACACCATTAACGGTCTTCCTCTTGGTTTTGCTTGTCTAACTACTAATTGGTATAAGTTTTTTATTTTGTAACCCAAGCTGCAACATCAAAAAATAATTAAAACTTATACAAACCCAATCCTTAATAACTAAAGTAACTAAAAATGTATAAAACACTATAACAACACTTGCATTTAAAATATGTCTCCCTATCTACAAGTGTCTATACAATTTATACCCTTCAATGGCTTTTTTCTTGATTTTTTAATAAGTTCCCGAATGTTTGTTGTTTTTCCCCATCCCTATACTATTGGCTAAAACAACTCTATTTTTTTATGGTGGTTGAATCACATTTGGCCTTTGATAAAGGACTTCCACTTCTTTTACTAGTCATGCCGTATAGTCTTCCTTCAAAATCTATAAAAAATCTTTTAAGAACTCTACTAGATTTGGACTGATTACCACTACCAGTAACACTAACACTATTTATTTGTATTGATTTACTTAACAGTCCACAACCATGTTGAAAAACAAATATTGATGCATGCCCAAAGCTAGAAATAAAGGCAGAAGCAAAAGCTGACCTAGATAAAGATGCAAAAGCTGAAATAGATATAACCTAGATACAAAAGCAAAAACAAAGATAGTACATACAATGGCATTACATTGTCTCTGTTTTTTTCTTCTTGCAACCCCAGTTGATGCCACATTTGCATTTATTACATCAGGTCCCCTAATATCAATGTTCTCTTCAGTCATTTATCTTTGAAATAGTAATTAGTATAAAGGGTTAGGTTAGGGTGAGTGGATCTAATGGGGAAATAAATTATAAATGAAACAAATTATTACATAATAAGACAAAATAATAAGAAATTACCTTATTACTTGTAGACAACCCATTTTGTTTGAAAATTTTTTCGAAATTGAAATTGGCTTTGATCATAAAATGGACCCAATTAGGAAGCTTTAGGCTTACAAGATAGAAGCCAAAAATTTTTAATTGTAATTTGATTTTAGTTTTAATTTTATTTTGATTTTAATATTAATATTAATTTAGTTTTTTTTTGTTTTTTTTTTTAAGTCAAAGCTAGAAAGTTAGAAAGTAAAAAAAAAAAAATCAAAATATAAAAAACGAGGGATTTAGGATTCAATCTTGGATTTGATTGTGAATTTAATCGTTTGATGAATTTTCTTGGGCTTAATTATGCAATTACAGCAAAATTAATTAAACCAAATTACACTAATTAATTCGCAAGAATAAAATCACAAAAGCCCCAAATTATGTGGAATTTTTTCAAAATTAAAGAGATTCGATCTCTGTAAAACAAACAAACAAAGCACATACAATAGTAGATTAAGTAATTAGAACGTCGAAATTTTCTAAGTTCTAAGTTTCTAATTTTTTAAAAATTTTTGGCAATCTTATTTCTGGAATTTTGAAACTTTTGGCTTCTTTAAGATTTTGTTTTTTGATTTGTGGATTGTTTGGGGATTTGGGAAATATTAATTTGGGTTTGATTTTGATTTTTGGGTTAATTTTCAAAAAGGGATTTGAGTTTTAGGTTTGATGGGATTTTCTTAGAAAATTTTGTTTATGGGTTTTTACTTTATGGAAATTCTGGGTTAGTTGCTTGAATAGTTGAATTTTTTGGGTGAAGCTTGAATTTTGTGTTTTTTTTTTTGTTTTTATTTGAATTTTTTGGCTAAGATTAAATTTTTCGATGGAGTATACAATGACCAAAAAGGTTTTGCGACTGTCGGATTCTAGGTTCATAGTGTTTCCTGGGAAAGTTTTATTTTTTTGGTAACTTATTGAATTTCCCGATGCCGAAATTTGAGATTTGCTTGATCGATTGAATTTCTTGATGAACTTCTAAAGAGAAGTCAAAGAAAAAATAAGTTAGAGAAAGAGAGGAGAAAACAGGTCTGAGGAAAAAACAAAAGATTTTGCCTTTTATTCTAAGCCAAAATGACGCCATTTTGAAGGGCTTTTGACTTGCATACAACTTGATGACTGTGTGTTGACCCGTGCTCCAAACCCAACATAATCCTAAGTTTTTCCTTTTCTTTTTCTTTTTGTTTATTTTTTGCATTGATTTTTTTGTTTGATTTTTATTTTCTTATTTTTTTTTCTTTTTTTATATATTATTTTTATATTTATTATAGTTGTTTGAATTAAAGTGTTAAGAAAAGAAAGATAAAAAATATTTTTTTTACATGATATTTTTTGAATTACATGATTTTTTTTAATATTTAATTGCATGTTTTCATAGTTATTGAGTGATCTATTAAATATATTTTGCATAATTAAATGATTATATTTAGTTGCATGATAATTAATATTATTGCAGGATAGTTTATTATTATTACATAATATTTTATATTATTATTGCATGGTATCATTTGCATGATGATTTTTGTTCTATTTTAATTGATTTTTTTTTCAAATTTAAAAAAATATTTTAAAAAAATATTTCCAATCCTACTAAATTTTTTAGAGGATTTAAATATCGAATTAAGTCTTATTAAACTATTGGAGGACTTAATGAATTTTTCTAAAAAATATATTTTTTAAAAATCCTATCAACATATTGGAGGATAATTCTTAACAAAAAATCTTGCCAACATATTAGAAGATAATTCTGAAAATAAATTTTTTTTATAAAATTTAGATCTTGATTGGTTATCATAAATAATTTTTTATTAAATGAATCCGATCACGGAGCCTCTTCAAAGTAGGACATTAATCTCATGAATACTCTTGAGGTAAAAAAATTATCTTAAATTGTTACCAAATTATTTGAGTAATTTTAAAATTAATTTTTAATAATTAAATTATTGGGTAAATTATAAAGATGTTCTAAGGCTTGGATAACTTGAAATTAAACTGGTACCATTCTTTGGATGGACATTGTGAGTGTACCATAACCTTTCTCACACGTAATCTTACTTTCGAACCTAAATCTAGTTTCATATACTAAAATCTATCTTTCAAAGATATCAAATCATGATTGGGATCTCTTTTTAAAATGGGATAGATTTGGTTAGGTGGCTAATCATACTTAAATAAAAAAGATTAATGGCGACTCTATAAATTTATATCTAACGATAGGTTTACAGATCTATACGTTATGATAGTTTGGAAACCCCACTGGGGACATCGAGAGTTAGGCCAAAAATAATTTCTTGTTATCGAGGCCTAACTTACTAAATTTAATAATTTTCTCCATGTTTGTATTTTATTTATTTATTTATTTTGTTCATATCTAT